TTTATCAGCGTTCTGTTGTGTACGTTCGCTATCTTATCCATTATTACTCTCATCTTTCTCCGAAAGAGGACCTGTACTTGATACAGGCGTTACAAATGCACTTTTATTAAATGGCCAATCACGATCTTTTCTTCTAATTGTAAATATTTTGTGAGATACATAACCGGCGTTTCATACGACAGATCCCAGGTTAACACCTTTTCCAAAAGAAAAATAGAAAAAACAAATGATAATAAATAATAGACAAAGAATAAATAATAAATAATAGACAAAGAAAGAACACATACTTTTATTAACTCCATTTCCCCATTTCATAAAAGTCAACTGTTGAATAAATAGCAAAACCAACATCACCAAAGTCAAAAGATTTGGGGTGATCAACTTCCTGAAAAAGACAAAACATATTCGGTTCTAAAATTATCAAGGTGAAGTTTTTTTAATAAGTTTCCAAAATTGCAGTAAGTGTTTGAAACCTTTTCATTGAAAAACAAATCTTGATTACAAGACAATAAATACAAATAAGACAAGTCTATTCTATTCACCAGAATTTCAAAAGAAAAAAACCGAGAAATAGTAAAATCTTTTTACATACGTGTAGTTTGGCAGCATTTAATAAGCTTGTAATAGCAAGTAACTGTAATTTTGTTTTGGGTAAATCTTCTGCAGTACGTAAGTATCTATCAATATAATCAACTGCTAAATAATATGTTTCAGGTTGTAAACGATAAATGTCACAAAGCTAAAATAAAAAGATAAACAATAAAGAACGAATTTCGTTAGGACTATTACAATGCATAGCGACAATTTCAAAATTATCTGGAGTATCATATAACCACGTCACTACTTCCAGGAAAATACTGCGAATCAGTTAAAATAGCCTGGTACTTTTTCAGTGGTTGAAACGAAAGATGCAAGTCAGTTCGCAATAACGGCTACATGGTATTCGCTTAGCGGATGTCCATCCTAAAAACACGATAAGATAAAAGCTGGTGTTCCCCTAAGTAACATTAAACCTGGTGTTCAAAGAAAGACCAATGTTGCCAGGCAGAAAGTGAAAAGCAATAAGTCTCCTAAGATCTTGCCAGCGGCAAAAAGTCGTTCCTTTCGTGTACTCTTAGACGTTTTTTTGGGGAAGTTTTATTTGAGCTTAAATACGGTGAAAAGGAATAACAATCATTAATTATCCATTCAAAATAATTTTGAGCTTTGACGCAGAGGTCTGCGGTTTTTCCAAATCACTACTGTCTGTACCAAAATAGAATGGACTCCGTTGTTTTTTTAATAACTTTTGATAGAAGCCAGTTAGAGAGCTCCGGCTTTCGCCATAAGAATGCGGAGACTTGGGGGCATGTTTTCATAAGCAGAAACTTTTTCAGAAGTGTTTTCTAAAACAGCTTTTCTAGGAGATCTTTGAAAAACCAGGTCGCGTGTAAAAACTTTT